TTAGGAGGGCATGTCTCAATGAACATACACAGTAACCGTAAGGAGTGCACGTCACACTGAACATACACAGTAACCGTAAGGAGGGCACGGCTCACTGAACATACATAGTAACCGTATAAGTAGGGCACGTCTCACTGAACATACATAGTAACCGTATAAGGAGGGCACGTCTTACTGAACATACATAGTAACCGTATAAGGAGGGCACGCCTCACTGACATACATAGTAACCGTAAGGAGGACACGTCCCACTGAACATACATAGTAACCTTAAGGAGGAAACGCCTCACTGAACATACATAGTAACGTATAAGGAGGCATTGTCTCAATGAACATACACAGAAACCGTAAGGAGGACACGTCTCACTGAACATACGTAGTAACCGTAAGGAGGGCATGTCTCAATGAACATACACAGTAACCGTAAGGAGGGCACGTCTCACTGAACATACATAGTAACCGTAAGGAGGACACGTCTCACTGAACATACATAGTAACCGTAAGGAGGACACGTCTCACTAAACATACGTAGTAACCGTAAGGAGGGCACGTCTCACTGAACATACATAGTAACCGTAAGGAGGACACGTCTCACTGAACATACATAGTAACCGTAAGGAGGGCACGTCTCACTGAACATACATAGTATTCGTAAGGAGGGCACGTCTCACTGAACATACATAGTAACCGTATAAGGAGGGCATGTCTCAATGAACATACACAGTAACCGTAAGGAGGACACGTCTCACTGAACATACATAGTAACCGTATAAGGAGGGAACGCCTCACTGAACATACAAAGTAACCGTATAAGGAGGGCACGTCACATTGAACATACACAGTAACCGTAAGGAGGACACGTCTCACTGAACATACATAGCAACCGTAAGGAGGGCATGTCTCACTGAACATACACAGTAACCGTAAGGAGGGCACGTCTCACTGAACATACATAGTAACCGTAAGGAGGGCACGTCTCACTGAACATACACATGAAACAGCTCACTCTCAACCATGTTGTCAACTCACATGAAACAGCTCGCTCTCAATCATGGTGTCAACTCACATGAAACAACTCACTCTCAACCATGTTGTCAACTCACATGAAACAGCTCACTTAACCATGGTGTCAACTCACATGAAACAGCTCACGTATATATGCTGTCAACTCACATGAAACAACTCACTCTCAACCATGTTGTCATATCACATGAAACAGCTCACTCTCAACCATGTTGTCAACTCACATGAAACAGCTCACTTAACCATGGTGTCAACTCACATGAAACAGCTCACGTATATATGCTGTCAACTCACATGAAACAACTCACTCTCAACCATGTTGTCATATCACATGAAACAGCTCACTCTCAACCATGTTGTCAACTCACATGAAACAGCTCACTTAACCATGGTGTCAACTCACATGAAACAGCTCACGTATCTATGCTGTCAACTCACATGAAACAACTCACTCTAAACCATGTTGTCATATCACATGAAATAGCTCACTCTCAACTATGTTGTCAAATCACATGAAACAGCTCACTTAACTATGGTGTCAACTCACATGAAACAGCGCACCTAGCAATGGTGTCAAATCACATGAAACAGCTCACTTAACTATGGTGTCAACTCACATGAAAAAGCTCACTCTTAACCATGTTGTCAACTCACATGAAACAGCGCACTTAGCAATTACTATTAAGTAGTTGACTAAATATATGCTAACCATCCTTTGATATATCTAATGTTGTTAAATATATTCGGTACACTTGACGATGGAAGATGAAGATGGCTGTTCAACTGATTCCCTGCTGAAGGCCTAGACGAGTAGATTATGTTACGGTTATACACGTGGGCAGTGAAACGTTAAAGGTTTCAATGCCGCCATTGACAACTCCTTATATCTGTGGTTGCTCGCCTTTTTTTCTATTTGATTTGCTGTCTTCTGCGATCTTGTCATTGTGTGTTGACACTGTGGTAATTTTGTCTGTAAAACTTGTGGTCGATGTGAGTTCTAAACATATTTGGATCTCATTTATAGTTCTCTGACTCTTACTCTTCCGGAACACCTGGTCTTATTTACTTTGTACTTTTTCATTGATATGATTGTATTGCTTTCCTATTTTAATATTTCGCTCTGGTTTTATCTATTGTGAGTTTGAATTGCGGTTTTGTTGACATTTCGACATTTTTCTGTTGGTTTATATCAGTTATGGTGGGTCCAATGTTTTTATTCAGAGTTACTTGTGTTAGAACACCATTGCCCTCCTTTTCAGCGGCCAAAAGTCAAATCCAGTCAAAAATCGTAACTATACCAAATTTGATTTATTTTATGATTCAGTTATGTATAGGAACAACTTACAAATTATCTTCAGTAAAATAAATGGAAAAAAATATGAGTTAAGTATTTAAAGTGCAACGAATGTGTATTCCGTTTTAAATATTTTCATTTTTGAAACATGTGCAAAATGTTAATTTTTCCAGTTAATCCATCTAAAACGGCCGCTAAAAGTTATTCCTGTTTTTTTCGGACATATTTTATTTAAATTTGATTATATAAAGTTCACAATAGGTTGTGTAAGCATGGCTGAATAACGATTACAAACCTTGTGTACGAATTCATTATTAAACATGCTAAAAAATGGCTTCTCTCTTGGCCGACAATAACCGCGGCTTTTCGTGGTAATGTTCTTATGTACAATAAACATGAAGATTAACACTAAATTCTAAGGGGAAATTCTTTATGCAGTCGGCACTATAAAATGAAATGGTTCGTCAATGTTGTTTTCACCGAGATTCGGTGTACACGCATGTTACACGGGGGTGGCCTAGAACTTACACGACCTAACGATAAACATTGTCGGTTTTCCGAGAAACATATCTTCTAGTACATGGGAAAAGGTGTGCTGTCGCTCTGGATTGATTTTGAGACAAAACCTGGTGACAGAAATAAACAAAGTAGGTCACACAAGGTGTCACAAGAACATCGGTAATCTCCACGCGCTATATATAAACACAACAACGCAGATTGTTTGTATTTTTCTTCCTGGTTCTTTATCTCGACAGCCGTTCGGTATTATCGGTAGGGGAGGCGTGGGGATCACCATGTGTTTTTGTTCATGGTTAATACTTTGCACTAAACCTCTCTTTATCGTTGCACTACAATAATTTGCCCTCTCACCCATGTCTGCTCGTCCGTCTTTCCATCATTATTCTCGAACCATTTATTTGTCCATCGCACTCCTTACTTATCATGGCTTTAGTCATTTACAAACTGTCAAAATCTAATATCCCGTTTTATAACTCCTGGTTATGTCGCGAATTATATTAAGATGTATTTTTTTTTCAAATACAGTAATACAATGTACAATACACATTAAGTGGACTATAATAGCATCAATTGTATCCGCTATCCGTCTAGAAATGTAATGTAATACATGCGCGATAGAATTACGAAACAAAGTAGTTGACATTTGTTATTTTTTTATGGTTTTATTCAAAGAGAATTTTCATGATAATACAATTTCACAGGAACCTTTTTGTTATTCTTTCAAAGCAATTCATTGACATTTCCACTAGGAATTAGTACATGTATATAAATATATGTTAGACGGAATGTGAAAATAGTGGCAGGGGGTTTGGGATCGGATGGCTTTATTTCTAAGTACTCTGTAACTGAACAAAAATCATACATGTATCAAATTATATCAGTGCGGTTTCTTCTGATATACGTCAATAAACTATAGTAATTTGCCGTACTATGATTTTAGTTCTCGTCCCTCGCTCATGCCAAGGATGTTTTCTGAGGACTTATTTTGAAGCGATGAAAATAAGTCCATGTCACCTTTCAACATTTAAAAAATAATCGCCGATAAGATATTATGCTGACACATTCACACAGACACTGGGGTCAACTCGCTGTCATTGATTCTGACATTGGGAACGCAAACATCTTGATCAGAAAAACTCGTGATCGGTCCGTCCAAATAAACTGCAATAGATATCGTGCCAAGAGCAATTCAAGGTTAAACATGTGTTTACCTGCACGTCGCTGTCGGAACACCTTTCTATATCTGTTATCTTGCTTAGAAGGCTGTTGCGTATAAGAAGAACACAATCAGCTTAATGACATATAGTCTCTAAAAAATAAAATTATTATAGATGCATTGCAAAATTTGTTTGTGAATGTTTTGTTAAAAAAACAGTATTCGTGTCTGAAGGATTTAGGACATTTTCTACAAATTTCAATCAGGATATTGAAAACAATGTTGATTTCGGGTTTCAAGTCCTTGATCCTTCAAATACTTACCATATTGTGTAAACGACACAACCATTGTACACTTTTCGTTTTACTGTAATCCGTTATTTTTGTAAATACCATTAGTGTTTTAACTAAACATTCTCTATTTTCTGAGACCACGACAGATCACAGACAAATTCTTTTTACCACAGCGTTGTACAGTATGTTTCAGTTAGGGGTCCCTCTACATTTCTACTTTATACAGGTTTTATAAAAGCTATTTTCCTGTTGAGTGATTTCCTGCATACTCATTCAAAGACAATTACAGGTCGGTCCATAGACCACTTTGAAAATTGTCCTCCCAAGGATGGTGCTGAGAAGTATTAATAAAATAACCTCCCTGCTTTATACGGGGATTTTTCTGAGAGAAAACATTGTACACTCATTCTGTTACTCTATCATATACTATATAAGACAAGCAACCATTTGTCAGAAAATGCCTCACAAATTGGAACTCTCCTTCGCTGGAGGTACAACATAGAGATCTGGGACTATGTACCTTAATGACGCATTATGGAACAAGGCGTCTTAATTGATTAAATTAATATAGATATAGGGAACATATACAGTACAGTGTCGATAAATCGAAAATATTAGCATGTCAACACTTTCTCAACCATTTTATCAAACAATACTTCAAAACAGGAAAAAAAGTTATCGATCTTTTTACTCGGGTAGTTTCGGGCCACCCTGGTTTATGTAAAGCGATAATACAGAGTACCCTTCACACTCGTGGGACAAGCTGTTGTCCTGATCACTTCACCAGGAGGCCGATGGTAGGCTGTATCGCTAGGCGCTGGAAAAACGTGAGTTGTGAGCATCACATTGGCTATATGTAGCCCTATTACACCCGGATCTTAATTTTGTGTAGTGGTATATATTTAAGTAATAATACATAATGCTTAATCAAATATGTAGTCCAAATTTTTCATTAATTAGATCTGATTCGTAGCAAACGTAAACGGAGTGGGACTTTTTTCTGATGATTTTAAAACAATTAAAATTCGTTTAGTTTTATTTATGTGTAAAAAAATAATTTTAATGTGTATTTTTAAATGTATACGCAACTTTGGAACAGAAACAAATACATTTAGTTTATTATATTTTGATTGTCATCATTTTGTTAATCCAAATCCAATCCTTTATTTGCACGTTTGTAACCAAAGTGTACTTTGAAGACAAACCACAATGTTGTGCAGCGTACTAGATGATAAGCTTATCTGCCCTTAGTATGCATTAGCAGACACAATATGAACATTACTTCAAGTGTGTTTTAAGAAGTGAATCTATTAGCTTAAGTGTGAATCCAGTGTTTCATAGTGTTAGCAGTCACAACCTCAAATGTTTAACGAATCAAGCAATTGTTGCCATGTTTTTTTATGAATTATTTCGTTACAGCCTGACTTTTTTCTCGACCGAATCTCAGTCTCTAAAAGCGGTTCAACTTATTTTATTTGTTTTAGATTTTTTTTTATTAGTAAACGCGATTATGCCAATGCGTGTATTTTGTTTAACTACTATTAAGTCTACGGGTATCATCTCGACTATTAGTAGTGTTCTCTCCTTCGTTTTTGTTATATTGTTTTGGCAGAGTCTGGGTATTCTCTCACGTCATTTAGTTCTTCCCGTTCAGACTATATGGATCGTAAAATAAAGAGTACAAAATCCTGGAAAGTATGTTTAAGAGGCAATATTTGAGCGCAGAGGTGATATGTTGGAGTATATGAGAAAACATAACCCCGGGTCTTTTTATAAGAAATTTGGTAAGAAGAAAGTTAAAACACCAATGCGTAATGGTAATCAACTGTACAATCATTTCAAAAACCTGTCTTCTGTACAACAAGCTAGTGATCCAGTCCATCAACACGACTTTAGTCTTACTGATAATGACACTGTTTTTGAGGAATCAGATGCTCCTATTTCGTTACAAGAAGTAAAAAATGCTATTCGGAAATTGAAATGTGGTAAATCACATGGACCTGATGGTTTGTTAAATGAATGTTTATAAGCTGGCGAGGAATTACCTCTTCCAACTTTATCTACGTTGTTTAATTCTATACTAGAATCTGGTTATTTTCCTTCTAATTGGTCGTCAGCCGTAATTATTCCTGTCCATAAGAAAGGTGTTTTAAATGACCCAAATAACTTTAGAGGTATCAGTTTAATTAGCTGTCTTTGTAAACTTTTTACCTCTGTACTAAATAAACGAATTTTAGATGTGTATACAAAATATGACCTTATTACTGATGTGCAATTTGAATTTCGTCCAGAACTTAGTACGATTGATGCATTTTCGCATTGCATTCTACTATAACGAAAACTGTATTTTCGAAGAAACGTTTGTACTGTTGCTTTGTGGACTTTCGCAATGCGTTTGATTTTGTTGATAGATTAAGCTTGTGGCGTAAGTTGACTAAGCTTGGTATTCGAGGGAAAATGTTATCCGTCATTAAGACATTTTACAAATCAGTTAAATCTTGTGCATCAATTAACGGTAAATGTTCTAATTATTTTGAGTATAATGTTGGATTAATACAAGGGGAAATATTATCTCCTTTATTGTTCTCAGTTTTTGTTAATGATTTTGAAACCTCATTTATTGAAAATGGTGCAACAGACTATGACTTTGGTGAATTAAGTTTGTTTTTGTTAATGTATGCGGATGATTTAGTAATGTTTTCCGAAACTATTGAAGGTTTACAGAGTCTTTCAGATAATCTGAATGAGTATTCTACTAAATGGAAATTAACAGTTAACACTGAGAAAACCAAAATAGTTGTATTAAGAAACGGAGGCCGTATACGAGATAGAGAAAGATGGATGTATAATGGTTTGGAGGTGGAAGTTGTAGATGTTTTCAGCTACCTAGGAGTAAAACTTAAAATCAATAATACATTCAATCATATACAGTAACAGTTATCTGACCAAGGACGAAAGGCCATGTACAATGTATGCTCTTTTTTCAAGCTCTTCTAACTTGAGCCTAAACAGTACAACGTCATTGCATTTATTTGTTACGTATGTTTGCAGTATATTGCATTATGCATGTGAAGTTTTGGGATCTACAAAAGGTACGGATATTGAGAGGTTACACTTACCCTTTTGTGAGAAGATTTTAAAAGTTAAGAAGTCGACTTGCAATGCAATGGTTTATTTTGAATTAGGTCGACATCCTTTGGAATATATAAGAAAATTCAGAATGATAAAATATTGGTTAAAATTAATGGATTCGAAAAATTGTATTTTGCAAACTGCGTATTCCTTTTAAAGTAGTAGCAATACAGGCAATTGCTTTAACTGGGTTAATTATGTCAAACATTGTCTTTTTTCTCTCGGATTCGCAGATGTATGGACAAATTATTATTCATATAACCATAAAAGTATTTTGTATATGATAAAGAAAAGAATATTTGATCAAAGTCAACAATATTTGAGAGGGCTATCAGAAGCCTCACCTAAATGTACTGTATATATCAAGGTCGGTGCCAGAACTATTGAGACTGTTCCAGCTGTTAAAAACCTAGGGGTATACTTTGATAGTTCACTGAACATGGAGAAACAAGTTAACGCTATTGCCAAATCCTGTTACTACCAGATCAGGAACATCGACTGTATTCGGCAGTTTTTAACTGCAAATGCATGCAAGATTTTGGTGCATTCACTTGTTACCTCTCGGTTGGATTATGGTAACGCCCTGCTCTGTGGTATATCTGACAAACTAACTGGTTGTCTGCAGAGGGTCCAGAACACTGCAGCACGGCTAGTTACTCGTACTCTAAAGAGAGAGCACATCTCACTATGCTCTATTCGTTGCACTGGTTACCTGTACGATACAGGTCGCAGTACAAAATTCTGGTGTACACATATAAGGCACTGAATGGAACAGCTCCTCAGTACATACAAGAGCTTGTTACCCTATATCAGCCGTCACGATCACTGCGGTCGGAGTCAGAATCTTTGTTGTGTGTCCCAAAATCTCGTACTGTGACCTACGGAAACAGATACTTTGGAAGGGTTTCGGCTACGTTGTGGAATAGCTTACCATCTGCAATTAGAAAGTCCAATATCCTGACAAAGTTCAAAAGGGACATCAAAACTCACCTCTTCACGTCTGCATTTTAGAATCTTTGCAAAGACGTTATGTATATGTGCACATTGCTTGCTTAAATGTATAAAAGTGATTACAAGCCTTTGTTTTTTTTTTCGTTTTCACAATTATAACCATTACTATTATCCATATGTTGTAAAGCGCTTTAGAATAATTTTATAAATTATATAGGGCGCTATATAAATGTTGTATATTATCATTATATTATTATATAAGCACTTAGCAAATCACCGTTTTCTTCAATACTATTTGACAAAGTATATTCCTATGAAATACCGAATCTGTTTATCTAAACTTCGTCTTTCTGCACATAATTTAGCTATTGAGACTGGTAGATACAATAACATAACGAGAGAACAAAGACACTGTATGAGCTGCAATACAGATATAGAAGACGAATATCATTTTATTTTGATATGCAGGAATTATCATATTCTGAGAGTAAAATACATAAAACCATATTACTGGCGAAATCCTTCAATGTAATAACTTGTACAGTTACTAAGTGTTGATAATATCAGCGATCTTTGTAAACTTGCTAGATAGATTTTTGAGGCAAATAAGGCACGAGTGACGTAAACATGCATATCAATATAATTTATATAAATGTCTATGTATGTATTATTGACATTTGTATCATTACGGATTACATATTGTTGTTGTTGTTGTTGTTAATGTCAGATTATGATGTTGATGATGATGATTATGATGATGATGATGATGATGATGTGAGAGCGTTAATGAGTGTTGATTGCATAATACATATATGTATGTATCATTTGTAATTTATTGTAAATTAAAGTTATCCAATAAGTTGTGAAACTTAAGAAATAAAAGTTGATTTGTGTATGTGTGTGTGTATGTGTGTGTGTATGTGTGTATGTGTGTGTATGTGTGTGTATGAGTGTGTATGTGTGTGTGTATGTGTGGGTATGTGTGTATGTGTGTGTGTATGTGTTGATGTATGTGTGTATGTGTGTGTATGTGTGTGTATTAGTGTGTATGTGTGTGTGTATGTGTGTATATATGTGTGTATGTGTGTGTATGTGTGTGTATGAGTGTGTATGTGTGTGTGTATGTGTGGGTATGTGTGTATGTGTGTGTGTATGTGTTGATGTATGTGTGTATGTGTGTGTATGTGTGCATGCGTGTGTGTATGTGTGTGTGTATGTGTGTATCTGTGTGTGTATGTGTGTATGTGTGTGTGTCTGTGTGTATGTGTGTGTGTATCATATTGTATTTGATAATATCAGCGATCTTTGTAAACTTGCTAGATAGATTTTTGAGGCAAATAAGGCACGAGTGACGTAAACATGCATATCAATATAATTTATATAAATGTCTATGTATGTATTATTGACATTTGTATCATTACGGATTACATATTGTTGTTGTTGTTGTTGTTAATGTCAGATTATGATGATGATGATGATGATTATGATGATGATGATGATGATGTGAGAGTGTTAATGAGTGTTGATTGCATAATACATATTTGTATGTATCATTTGTAATTTATTGTATATTAAAGTTATCCAATAAGTTGTGAAACTTTAGAAATAAAAGTTGATTTGTGTATGTGTGTGTGTATGTGTGTATCTGTGTGTGTATGTGTGTATGTGTGTGTATGTGTGTGTGTGTGTGTGTATGGATGTGTGTATGTGTGTGTATGTGTGTGTGTATGTTTGTATGTATGTGTGTATGTGTGTGTATGCGTGTATGTGTGTGTGTGTGTGTATGTGTGCGTGTGTGTGTGTATGTGTGTGTGTGTGTGTGTATGTGTGTATGTGTGTATGTGTGTGTGTATCATATTGTATTTGATAATATCAGCGATCTTTGTAAACTTGCTAGATAGATTTTTGAGGCAAATAAGGCACGAGTGACGTAAACATGCATATCAATATAATTTATATAAATGTCTATGTATGTATTATTGACATTTGTATCATTACGGATTACATATTGTTGTTGTTGTTGTTGTTAATGTCAGATTATGATGTTGATGATGATGATTATGATGATGATGATGATGATGTGAGAGCGTTAATGAGTGTTGATTGCATAATACCTATATGTATGTATCATTTGTAATTTATTGGAAATTAAAGTTATCCAATAAGTTGTGAAACTTTAGAAATAAAAGTTGATTTGTGTATGTGTGTGTGTATGTGTGTGGGTATGTGTGTATGTATGTGTATATGTGTGTGTATGTGTGTATGTGTGTGTGTATCATATCGTATGTCGTCTCTGTATTGTTTTGTATATATGTTATAACTGATCAGTCAACCGACTTAAAGTAATAAAGAACTTGAGTGTTGGATCGGTTAGGAACATGGTTGTTGCGGAATGACGACTCGCTAGATCGGTCATTATATTTTACGTGTATTAGTTATGCCTACAGCAAGCATTTAAGCTCCGGTGTTAAGTAGTCAATTTGACGAAATAACAGAAATCCCGGTCATCGATGAATCTTCATCTCATTTTTCTTCATTTTGTTTCACGCTGGTCGAATTTCAAAATTTGTGCTTTTTCCATTACACTCAATGTATTTGGCGGAAGGCCCAGTCAACCGGACTCCTGACACTGTACTGTGAGAACGACGACGTCAAACTACTTGTCCGCCGAGCTGCTGTTCTTCCACTCATCCCCTTAGACCGCATAGAAGACGTCTGGTTCCAAACCCTTGAAGATGTTGATGATGCTGACATACCACATCCCGTGCTGTTTTTCACAGACTACGTCACAGAGGAATTGGTAGAAGGAGACCGACCTGGAACCACTTCTCAACAGAGGGTCCTCGGACTACCAACCATCTGGAAGCTTGGCTAGGAAAACTGAAAAATGAGTACTGCGTGCCCACCCCAACATCTACACCATCATCCAGACGTTTAAAGACATACAGACCGTGAGTGACATAACCGGATCCAGAGAAATGCAGGAGGCACTATTCAACCCCGAAAGAAGATACGCAAACATCGACAGACGCATGGCCACCCTGAAAAGACCGTTAACCTACGGTGTTAGTGACAGCTTGTTTCTATAACGGAGTGACCTGCGGAATGGTAAAACATATGAGTTTGAAACATGTTTTTTTTTTAGCAACTTCTTGTCCGAAACAAATCAAAACGAGTGTGGCGTCCGCATTGTTCTGTAAACGTTTTGGTCACATTATAACCATTTACTTTCGGTTCATAGTATTATGAACCCTGAATGGTATTTCCTAGGTTTAATGAGATATCACTATAAAGTCGGCATTAGATCTGCTCTATCACAAGGAGGCAAGCACGCCAACATACCCTGTCTCCTGCATACACACACGCAAGCACACACACACTACACACACGGTGGCACGTCCTCAAATGACCTTAGCTGTTCATAGGACGTTAAATAAACCAACCATAGGTACCTAGTCCGCTGTTCTACCGATCGTGCGAAGGGGACATTCCACTTAGCGCGAAACTAGTTGGCGACCGTAATCATATGTACAATTAAAATCTGAAACACTACACCCCTACACACCGCTCTTTTGCGTATTCGGCCTCGAACAATATAACAATCCAGGATCTAACTCCACCGGAAGGGCCACGGACAACATTTGTAACAGGAAAGAGAGTGGTGTGCTTCCAACGGAGATTAAACCTGCGACCCCTAGCTTTAGAGTCCGCCGCTCTACCGATCGAGCGAAAGGCAAATTCCTTCTAGCGCGTAGCTAGAGGGCGGCCGCAATCCTATTTACAATTAACATCTACCACATAATCAATTACTCCTGTGTGATGTAGATACAGAAAGCTTAACACAAGGGTTAGACTTTTGAAGTATAGTATACAAGGTTGTGCCGAGTGCTAAACTTCAAAACTCTTTCCCCGAGGGTTGAGGTTTCTCTGTCTCCCTCACCCAGGATTGACCGATATTTTCGCCCACTCTTTCCTATCGTAAACATACATTGTAATGATGACTCCAGTGCGTCGCGCCACCGTCATGTGCGCATGGAATTCGTGACAAAATTGTTGATGCGACCCTAGTTTCGCTGCATAGCTAGATGACGCAACGATAACATGTTACATTTAGAATAAATTAAACTTTGATCAATTCACTACAATTATGGAACAGGATTTGTTTACCCTAGGTGAGGGTTACCTATACCCAGCCCACTATTCAATGCGCCACCTGAACTACCTAGCTAAAACGGAAATCAATATCTGTAAAATGTCAGAGAATATCACGGAAGCATATGTATATTTATTTTATTTATAAAATCTCTAACAGATCGAACAACGAAGAATTTGTTTATATGTATTATAATATTATAATTCTAGTTTCTCTTTAACACGTCCTTAAAATGAAATAAATAGCATTTTTACACATGCAAATTGTTCGGCAATAATGTTACAATGCTTTAGATATAAAGTCACAGTAAATTTCATAATCCGGAAGTAATTCGAGCATATTCAATATGTCGATATAATCACATAGAAGTCATTCAATAATGTACTGTTTTTTTCCAATGATTATATTAATACGAGCGAGAATATTGGTTGATTTTTACAATACAAGTTTGGTGTATATATAAGGTATCACTTGTTTCCGCTCGCCAAAGACTTATGTTTTCCCCCTTTTTGTTGACAGGTGAAGATGTTAACTCTATGTTTGTTGCTGAGTCTGTGTCTAGGAACAGCATTGGGAGTTCCCTGCTGTACAGGAGTTTGTGACTGCGAGGCCCACGTGGTCACGTGCGAATCCAAAAGTCTTTCCGATGTACCAATGTGTTCAGCAAGTGAAGTCAACGAATTCACAGAGATGCGACTCACTAAAAACAGGATAGTCAATCCGACCTTTAGTCGCATCCCTGACTCGATCAAAACCCTGGATCTTTCCGATAACAATATTACCACCATAACTATTGATAAAGTAAGAAACGTCATGGAATCGCTGGACCTGAGTGGGAACGGACTTACTAGTGTGCCCATATTGAGTAAACTGCCCTCTCTACATAACCTTGACGTGACCTTTAATCCAATCCCGTCCAACTTAAATGGATTTCCGGACGCCATCTTCCGACAGCTTGGAACCAATCTCACCTCTCTTCATGTTGGACACCCAGAAACATTCACCGAATTCCCACGCACAATAAGCACTCACCTGCCAAAGCTCGACACATTGGAGATCAACGGTGCACATGCTCGCTTCGGTAATTTGCCGCCGACAGCATTTGAAGCCTTCGAATTAGTCCTCAAAAAGCTATATATTCGAAATACACTTTTGTACGCAGTCCCTCTGACGTTAAGACGCCTTCGGAACTTGAAGGAACTTTACTTTGAGAGCAACCCTGTCCAGGACTACGGCTTGTTGCCGGAAGCGTTCAGTGGCCTGAATAGTCTTGAACTGCTATCACTGAAGAACGACAGTTTGACGACATTCCCTGCTATTGTCAACAATCTCAAAGACAAACTGACAACTCTCATACTAGACGAAAACAGACTGTTATTTATACGTGAAAATGCTCTCAACATGGTGAATGGAAGCAACATAGAAAATCTTTATCTCAGAGACTGTCAGCTGGACAGAATCCCTGGGGCTATGGCTGACGATAGTGGAAACTACCTTCAGAAAATCAAGGTGCTCGATTTATCAAAAAACAAGATCCAGAGCATCGATCGAAATGACCTGCACGATCTTCATAGTCTGCAGAACGTGTCCTTCAGCGAGAATCCTCTAGCTTACGTGTCCACGTTAGCATTCAAAAACCTCGGTAATTTGTCCTTCGTCGATTTCAGCAATACCAGCATCAAGGTTATTCCAATGGCGCTGACTAATGTTGCTAGACATGGCCTAGACATTGACTTGAGGAATACCGATGTCGAGTGTATATGCGAGCTGGCTTGTTTCCAAAAGTACTACAAATCGCGTAACTTCCGTGTCCATGGCGATTGCGAAACGGTTAGTGTTAAACTGACCGATTACTTAGAGATGACCATACCACACTGTCCGAACTTTAATGGTACCGTCTTCCCAAGCTGTACAGCAAACGTGTAAAGAGCAAGCGACTTTACTGTTTATCAGTAATTTCGAAATGGCAACAAATTGGACAACGTAGTAATAAAAAGGAACAGAAAGACAGCCTGTTTAAACACCCGCTAGTTACGTTGTATGACTGAACTGGTTCTATGTTAAAAAGATAAACAAATTGTCCGGGACAAGATCAATAAGTTTGCAGATTTATTGAGCTTATTCTGGTTCCTTTTGCTATTTTATTTTAACTTGTAGAGTTATTTGATTTTTTTTTTAATCCCGCCAATCTTACTCTTAAACCATATATTTTTTCCGAGAGATAGATACATTTTCGAGTTAAAAAAAATGTATATCGGAAATATACACAATGCTAGAACACATTTACCAAATTAATATATATCTTAAATAGGCCCTTTAAACAATGCACATTCGTTCAAACAAGGCAACATTTATTTCTGATTTTGATTGGTATTTTATCGAAGCATACACCTCTATAATAGATTGGTACGTTTATCGAAGCATACACCTCTATAATAGATTGGTACGTTTATCGAATCATACAACTCTATAATAGATTGGTACGTTTATCGAAGCATACACCACTATTATAGATTGGTACGTTTATCGTAGCATACACCACTATTATAGATTGGTACTTTTATCGAAGCATACACCACTATTAAAGATTGGTACGTTTATCGTAGCATACACCACTATTATAGATTGGTACGTTTATCGTAGCATACACCTCTATTATAGATTGGTACGTTTATCGTAGCATACACCACTATTATAAATTGGTACTTTTATCGTAGCATACACCACTATTATAGATTGGTACGTTTATCGTAGCATACACCTCTATAATAGATTGGTACGTTTATCGAAGCATACGCCTCTATAATAGATTGGTACGCTTATCGGAGCATACACCTCTATAATAGATTGGTACGTTTACCGAAGCATACACCTCTATAATAGATTGGTACTTTTATCGAAGCATACATCTCTATTTTAGATTGGTACGTTTATCGAAGCATACGCCTCTATAATAGATTGGTACGTTTATCGAAGCATACACCCCTATAATAGATTGGTACGTTTATCGAGGCATACACCTCTATAATAGATTGGTACGTCTATCGAAGCATACACCTCTATAATAGATCGGTACGTTTATCGAAGCATACACCTCTATAACAGATTGGTACGTTTATCGAAGCATACACCTATATAATAGATTGGTACGTTTATCGAGGCATACACCTCTATAATAGATTGGTACGTCTATCGAAGCATACACCTCTATAATAGGTTGGTACGTTTATCGAAGCATACACCACTATTAAAGATTGGTACGTCTATCGCAGCATACACCACTATTATAGATTGGTACGTATATCGTAGCATACACCACTATTATAGGTTGGTACGTATATCGTAGCATACACCACTATTATAAATTGGTACTTTTATCGAAGCATACACCACTATTAAAGATTGGTACGTCTATCGCAGCATACACCACTATTATAGATTGGTACGTATATCGTAGCATACACCACTATTATAGATTGGTCCGTTTATCGTAGCATACACCTCTATAATAGATTGGGACTTTTATCGAAGCATACATCTCTATTTTAGATTGGTACGTTTATCGAAGCATATACCTCTATAATAGATTGGTACGTTTGTCGAAGCATACACCTCTATAATAGATAGGTACGTTTATCGAAGCATACACCTCTATATTAGATTGGTACGTTTATCGAATCATACAACTCTATAATAGATTGGTACGTTTATCGAGGCATACACCTCTATAATAGATTGGTACGTCTATCGAAGCATACACCTCTATAATAGGTTGGTACGTTTATCGAAGCATACACCTCTATAACAGATTGGTACGTTTATCGAAGCATACGCCTCTATAATAGATTGGTACGCTTATCGAAGCATACACCTCTATAATAGGTTGGTACGTTTATCGAAGCATACACCCCTATAATAGATTGGTACGTTTATCGAAGCATACACCACTATTATAGATTGGTACGTTTTTCGTAGCATACACCTCTATTATAGAATGGTACGTTTATCGTAGCATACACCGCTATTATAGATTGGTATGTTTATCGTAGCATAAACCTCTATTATAGATTGGTACTTTTATCGTGGCATACACCTCTATTATAGATTGGTACTTTTATCGTGGCATACACCTCTATTATAGATTGGTACGTTTATCGTAGCATACACCTCTATAATAGATTGGTACTTTTATCGAAGCATACATCTCTATTTTAGATTGGTACGTTTATCGAAGCATACGTCTGTCTGACTTGTCATTTAAACAATGCATACATAACTTTGGTTGATTATTATTTCAATGGTTGCCTCTCTCCGATTGGTTGATATGTACGTTGTAAAAATCATGCAAACGTCTCTATAAATTATCCTTTAAGCAAGGCAGGGGTCCTTGATTATTTGGTTCCTTTATAAAAAGACAAACGTCTCTCTGATTGGTCATTTTAACAATGTTTTTATCTTATTTGGCTGTTTAAACAAGGTATACGTTTCTACGGTCGGACTGTTAAGAACAATGCACTCACGTCTCTAATTGGTCCGCAATATGATACATACATTTCTCTGAATAAATAAATAAATACATTTCCAGGGTTCTGTTCTGTAATGTTTGTACTGCATAGACAACATTTGTAAACAGAAATGATCTACCCACAGGGTTCTGTTCTGTAATGGTCTACACACAGGGTTCTGTTCTGTTATGATCTACACACAGGGTTCTGTTCCTCTGTAACCTTTAACATCACAAACTGTTATAAATTAACGCCAATCTTTATGCGGTAATGTATATTTATGCATAGAAATATTGATGAAAATCCATGAAATGTGAAATATATTGTATATTTTGATTGAAATGATTGTGAGGAGCTTGAACAATGTTTAATTAAAGTTTTGCTTTTGCAATGGCTACGGTTTTTGTTATAAGTTACAATTCCACGAGTCGTATACGGTATTTAGTAAGTATGGACTATATAACACGGACGATCATGTTCAAGGTAGTATATTTAGTAGCATAACAAGTAATATGTCAGTTCCACATGACCAAACGTCGTGCAAAAAGGATGAAAGGTCATGATAATAAGAAATATGTCATTCATAAAAAGGAGACAAATCAAGTCCAACCAAAATCAACAACAACGTTAAAATGTCATGAAGTATAAGGTCATACACCGACGATTAAATGTCATAAATAAATGAGCAACCGTCATGCTCACTTAATAGAAATCCATGCATAAATTATATAATGTCATGTTCACATAGAAAAATGTCACGTATGAAAGATGAGACTTCGTTCACACAATACCATGTCATACCGGGTACATGGGACGTGAAATGTCATATCTTAATGAAAGTAGGTCAAGCACAAAAGATGATAATGGGAATAACACATGTCAAGTATAAAAGCGAAGTATTATGTTCACATTGTAAAATGATTAAATCTAGAAGGTTACATTCATGTGGTAACACAACATATCACACACACCAAACGGAAGTTAATATCGACAGGGAAACAGGTCATACTTGTAAGTTGAAAGGTCGAATTCACATTACAGTTGGTCATTATACAAGATAAGTGTCGTATTCACATACTTATAGGGAAATATAACAATAGGGCAATGTGCACATTGTAAGGTCGTAGTCACATAACAATCGGGCAACATATAACAGTAGGGCAATAACTAAACTGTAAGGTCAAAAAACAATAGGGCAATATACAAGTTAAATGGTAGAATTAACATGATACGAGATTCACATAACAACTAGGGAAAATGCAAATTGTAAGGTCGAATTCATATAACAATAATAAGAATAAAATCTTTTATTTAGACAGGGTAACATATTTAGATTTTCATCTAGTTTACAATATGGCCATGTAAAACACATTATATATACATACATAAAACAACAGCACACCACGCATACAGAGACATATGACATACAATAAAATAGAAAAAGTAGTCAAATAGTACAATGCATTATTAAGACAACCTATTATATTGTATCACTAAATATCACAGAATTGCATTTAGAACATTAGAAAATATCACAGCATATTACAAGTCAATACATACACATATTTATCACAGGGTAATATAAGGATTATCTCAGGAAATTATAATAAACAGAACCATAGGGATAATTTCAAATTTTGTACTTTAAAATATACATATAGTATATACCATATAGTACTCGGTTTGGGAATCCCCTACCTACTTGGTCCGCCGGTAACACATGGTATTAATGATCTAGTATTTTTAAAATAATTGGCCAGATATGCCTTTTTAAAAGCCAGAACATTTGTTGTGGTTTGTATGGTTTCTTCCAAAGTATTCCATAAAATAGTACAAGTGTATCTAAAATATTTTTTTGTAAAAACTTGTTCTACACTTGGGGATATAGAGCTGGTTCATTGCAGAAAATCTTGTGGTTCTTGTGGAAATCTGGGTTACATAGGTAAATACATTTTGTTTTAAAAATCATTGAGCCTGGTCGTTAAGGATTTTATAAGTAAGAACACATTTTCTAAAAGTATAAAAATCGTGAATAGGCATCCAGTTTAAAGTCTTTAAAAGTAACGAAGTTGGTGTACGAATTTCTCTTATATTTAGAATTACTCTTGCTGCTCTATTTTGAAGTTTAAATATTCTTTCCTTAAGGGACAGATTTGTAGGATTGCTCCATACTGAAGAACAGTACATAAAATGAGGTAAAACAATAGTCGTATACACCATTTTGGACATTTCTTGAAACATGAATTTTCTGATTCGTTTTAACACTCCAATTTTCTTTGATAATTTCTTACATACATATTCAATATGTACATTCCATCATAAACAGCTGTCAATAAAAACTCCCAGCAGTTTGGCATTGTGTACAGTTTCAATAATTATATCACCCACTTTGACACGCATCTGTTTGTGTTTTGATAATGTTTGTGATGAGCCAATAAGAATGCATTGGGTTTTAGTTAGATTTAGACTCATTTTATTATTG